ATATGGACTGGGTGGACATGGTCATCGACAAAAGGCGGCTACGAGGAAGACCTTCCCGCGCCACGCAACCTGGACAACATGGTGACCCCGAGGCCGAGACTGAAGGAATCACCACACGTTTTGGCGCAACCCGGGCAGGGAGGGACAGGTGGCACAATGCTGATGGTACGTTGCGATACCGTCTTCGAGAACGCCTTGCAGCTGCACAAGCACCTGCCCCTCTTCCACCTGTACCTGAAGAAACCTCACCGCTCGAACCCTGGTTCCAGATTACAGGGATCGGAGGTGTCGACCCCGCCAACGGTGACACCATCCTACAAGGAGTGAACGCGACAGGCAAAGACTTCCACGTCAGAGCTGGACCCCAACAAGATAGCAATCTGAGCACGACAGCTGGTGAAGAGGCGGACCTCGCAGACACCGAATCGGGGATGTCCTCTTCTGATGGTGGTTCAAATCAGGTCGTTGGTTTCTGGCGTGGAGGTGTTTGGCACAGTCGTCCCCGAACTGAGCAGGAACTTCGAGCACACCGAGGAGGAGGGGGTGAAGTCCGAACCAGAAGAAAGAAAGAAAGGATGCAAGCCTACTTCGACGGTCGTTGGAAGCCTGCATGGCTAGTACAATACGCCAATGACCGACGACAACGTCAAGACGCAGAGATGGCCCCCACACAGACTGGAACACAAGAGGAAGAACCTGCGTCAACCGGGGTGACTTCTGGCGTGGCTCCACATGATGAACTACATCCTTGGTCGACGGACTACATGCCGGGGGTGACTTCTTCGTTGGATACGCTGTCAACCCATGTGGACTATGATGCTGAAGGAGCAAAATGGATGTCCTGGACCTCTTCGCCTTCCTGGGATGACACCTCCACCTGGAATTGGCCAACTACATGGTCCGATTCGGCCTGGTCTACGTGGTGGTCGTCAGGGACGTGGGATGGCTGGCAATGTGTGACGGACCGGTGGCAGTGGAATGAGAGTGACACACAGTCAACAAGATGCACATGGTCCTCTACCTCGCCCTCGTCGTCTTCCACGTCCACTACCACGACCAGTGCACCGGGAGAGGCGAACTTTGATGCACCGGCAATACCGGGGTTTGGCCTCTTCCCTGACGTCAGGACGCTGGAGGAGGAGGTTACATGGCTGATGCAGCTCACCAATGGAGAACAGGCTACTCTACAAGAAAATGGGCTGACACAAGCGAATGTACAAAGCGTGGAAGAACTTCTACACCAGATCGATGACCACCAGATCGATGGAACAGGGCCCGAGGCGCGCTGGGCATTGGCAAGGCTGACTACAAGACTTGAAGATGGGGTGCAGACGCTCCAGGTGGTCCTTGACATCCTACAGCGTCGTCTGGTTCCTCGTGGGTTTCTTCCACTACAAAGGATCCCGGGAGAAGAACTAGCTCGCATCCGCTGGCTCAACTGGGCCCGGCAGTTCAGCACGATCTTTACGGGACAACTCGAAGTCAATCTGAGAGCACCGTTGCAGCCGCAGGAGGTGGACCCGTCTGAAGGTGTTTCCCTGGGCTTCCATACGGCTGCGCCATACGAACCACCATCCTCCTCGGGACAACAGACCCGGGATCGTAGCCGCAGCCCGCCTAGACCCGTGAGACCTCCACCATCAAAAAGTATCTCGGCCTCGCCGGCGCCACTGGAGGAAGAGGAGAGCGATGAATCCCAGGTGGAACCAGATGTCGAAGTGGATGGTCTTCTGCCGACCAATGTGGATCCTGCCCTTCTTCCAGGCATATGGCGTGACCCACCTCTTGAAGACCTCTCCGCGAATGGCAGCGCCTTTGGACGACCCTCCGCCTCCGGAGGAACGATGACTACCACCTCTCTAGGGTACGCCGGAGTGTGTCTCGACGGCCCTTGGACATGGACCTCAACGTCGTCCTCAACCGGGAGTACCAGCACGTCGGCTACAACAACTTCACTGTCTTCAACACACTGGAGCTCCTCGTCGACCTCCTCTTTGCCAAGCTGTCCAACGTCGACAAGTTCCTCAACGCAGACCCCCGCACCGAGTGCCCACGACTCAGCCTCTCAAGGGGATGAATTCGTGGGGATGCAGACTACTATGTGGACACCCGGAGCCACCACATCTACCAGTACGTTGGTAACGGAGGATGCGGGCCCCTCTCCTGGGCCGATTCCGTCCCTTGCTGACTACGATGCGGGCTCCCCACTCTGCACCTCCACATCGTGGCATGTCGTCCAGGGATTGGTGGGAGTCTCTTCTGTGGGGGTGATTTGCCCCTCTGGACCGTTGACTTCCTCCACTACTACCACGTCTCTGATAAGGGGTGAGGATGTGGTACGAGACGCCATCAACCTGGAACTCCAGCACGCTGGCACAGCGGACGTTGCGGATGTACTACGAAGGCTACTTGATCGACAGCGACGTCTACAGCACTGCCTTCGTTTGGTCGGAACCGCGCTTGAAGAGTGCCTCTGCTGGGTTACGCGAGGGTTATATGCGCGACCCTTCAATGCGGCAACCATGGAGGTGAGACTGTGGAGTGTCATCAGTCGTGAAGCTGCTCAAGGATCCGCTGGCGCTACTTCGGCGAGCACTGGCCTCACCACTCCTCAGGCCGTGCTCTTGCAGCCGGACTTGCCGCCCTCTCTCATGACTCTGCAGGGTGCATTCCCTGGGGTGGAAGAACACGTCGTTGCAGGCTATCGTCGTCGAGGTTGGAGGGTTCACGTTGAACAACTCTACCTGGCAGCTGGTCGTAGATGTCCACGTGGCAGTTGGCCTGCTGAGGAGGACCGGGAACTCTACTTTGTGCAGACTGATGAGGAAACGGTCATCTCCAACTTTCCCTCTCCGGTTCCGCTGCCGGAAGATCCGCTGCTGCACAGACAGGTACGGGGCATTGCAGCTAGGCGTCGTCTTCAACGTGCCAGGCCAGTCCCAACGTATGGCATGGGCACGGCAAGACGGGTGACTGTGGGTGCTCCTGAAGCAGAAGATGCCATGGAAGACGAAGTTGGTGAAGATGGGACAGGTGCTGCCGCTCATGAACATGGACATCCTGCTGGCGGTGCTGAAGGAGATGTTCCCGAACAAGCCCTCCTGACCTCGAACTCTTCGCTGGGCCAAAGTGCTGGTCCCCCTGCGGCCCATAGTGGACGTTCTGGACTTCGTCCTCGACATGGCGACGCTCGGTCTACGTCCTCTCATCGTGGTGCTCGCGCGGACCGTAGTCGCAGTCGAGATGGTGATGATGAGTTTGAAGCGTGAAAGTACCTAGTGAGTGATGGGATGGCGACGCGGAACAATACAAAACGCTGCAAGAAAGTCACCTGAGGGCATCTAGGGCGAAGGGTGCGATGTGTGCTTGAGCTTTTGCTCTGCTTTTCTTTGGTGCATGCTCCTATGGAGTGAGCCTTTTGACCTCGTGCGAGAGAAAGGGCTATTGCATTTAAAAAAAAAAAATACCCTAAACCCTAAACCCTAAACCCTAAACCCTAAACTGTGTCCAGTTTTCTTGGGCTGAGGATCTTCGGTTTCGGTGTGTTTCGGCTTCGGGTTTTTGGGCTCCGGGGCGAGTTGGGCCTTCGGGGTTTCGGGGTTCAGGGTTTAGGGTTTAGGGTTCAGGGTGTTTCGGGGCATCTCGGGCTAAGGGCTTTGTTGTTCGGGGCTCGGGGAAAGGCAGAGCAGTTGGTGTTTCGGATCGGAAGTCGTTTGTGTGTGTGCGGGGGTTTAGGTTAGGCATCGAGAACTTGTTTTTCATTTGTTGCTTAGGAAATCAAGGTCTCGGTGGGAGAATGAAGATAACTCCCAGCCATAAGGCTCTAAATCCAAAACACGAAGCGGCTTGCTCCTGAACCTCTCATCCGAAACCACGGGCCTGTAAGCCCTGATAGCCCTGCGGGCCCTGCGTTGCGGCGGCCAGGTCTTCCCTCAAATGCGGATTGCGGCGGCGGACATTGCCTTTCGAGCCTTAGCTGTTCTGGGGATGTATCTCTGGGCTTTGTCGAACACAGTGGGCCCGTAGGTTGTTGTTCTTCGGGCTGGAGCTGCCCTTCTTCGGTGGTCAGGGGAAGCTCGAGCATATACACAACCCTAAACCCTAAACCCCAAACCCTAAACCCTAAACCCTATGCGGGCACGTCCTTGCTAAGTAGGAGGCAAAAAACCCTAAGCTATCATTATTTTGCACAATGCCAGCTTGGTCACTACAGACCTCAGAGAAGCTGTGACATGGCTCCTTCCAGCCTGGGGCCCCCAAAGGCAACTCGAGCCCTAAAGCCCCAACCCCACACCACAAAATAGAACAGAACATGAGATAGCACAGTAGAAGTTTGAATAAGTCAAGTATAGTTAAAGTTTGCAACATACTTCTACGGCGACACGAAGCCTTTACAAGGAGATAACATGATAGAAGCATCATCGCAATAACACTCATGATCACAACCAAGTCATCAGTAACATCGTGGTGCCAGGTGTAGTATATATGAAGCAAAATCAGAATCGGGAGCACGTCACAATAACGACAGCATCTTCAACGATAGTGAATAGAATACTGGCAAGCCATAAATAACGTAAACAGCACGACTAACAATCATTGTATAGTAGAAAAAGAATTCAATAGCAAGGAGTAATATTATACTACTAATGCCAGCGTTAAAAAGAATTGAGAGTGGTCATAATCATGTTCTCAACCGCATCAGAATCACATCAACAACAACATCACATCTTGAGAGCTGCGGCTTTCAGACATGGGGCTGAGGGTCTGGTCTATGGGGCTCAGCTGTGGTAGTACGGGGGGTTCTAGCTTTCGGTCCACGATTTTTGTTGCGAATCATCTGCACCGGGAAGAGGTCCTATTTGGCGGTGAGCGGTTGTTCTTTCTAGATGGTCTGAACCTACACGACCCAACCTACTGAGAGAACAGCACCCGTTCACCGGCATTTTGGTTTATACAGCAAAGGGCCATCAGTGCGCACCCGTCAGCCAGCAGCTCTAGCCATGCCGATCCAGAAAGTGCATGCCCGTCAGAGCTTCGACTCCTGCGGCAACCCCACCATCCAGGTGGAAGTCACCACCGAAGAGGGGGTCTTCCGCGCAAGAGTGCCCGACTCCGGCGAGAACAAGGAGTGTGACTTGCATGATGGTGGCTACATGGGAAGTGGTGTCTCGAAGGCAGTCGACAGCGTGAGGTCCAAGATCGCACCTGCTCTCATCGGCAAAAACCCGACAGATCAGCAACTTATCGACAAGATCATGCTGGAGTTGGATGGCACGGAGGACAAGACCAACCTGGGAGCCGATGCCATTCTAGGCGTGTCCCTTGCCTGCTGCAGGGCTGGCGCCGCAGAGAAGGGCGTTCCCCTCGCCGAGCACCTCAACGACATCGCCGGCAAGCCCCTCATGAACGCGGACGACGTGAGATGCCGAGAAAGATGCTGAGGTTGGGGGGTTAGCTCAACCCACCAACTTCAAAAAACTGCTCCAAGTTCCAAGCACTTTATGCTTACCTTTGCTTTCTGGTACTGGAAAGCTGTTTGCAGAGCCTTTCGACTCGAGGGCTCGAAGTTCCGCCGCTTCGCTTCGCTAGGCCACTGGCAGAACATTTTTGCAGGTTGAGGATGTAGACAGTTTTCTAAATTAGGGTCCCTTTTAGGGTCCTTTTTATAAGGGTGCCGTATTATACTGGGGACCTAAAAAGGGATCCTAGTTCAGAGAACTACCCATGTAGGGGATGCAAAAGCAAGCGACGGCAGCCCGAGGGGGCAGAACACCACTGCAGACGCAGGCCGACTGCAAGGAGATCCATTTTCCAAAGCATCCTCCATTGCCAGGGATGTCGCCACCCCAGCTGCGACAAAGCATCCTAAGTGCCATATTCGCAGTTTCTATCCAGTGCAGATCCTATACTGCTTGCTACCGTGGAGGTGCTTAGCCATGCTTGGGTCTATTTCTTGAAAATCCGCCTCGGGCCACCGTGCCGCCCCAGCTTAGTATTACTATCCTGGACGTTCGGAGCCTTGCCAAGTGAACCCCGGCATCCTAGCATCGATATTCCGATCCGCTGGGTGCTTGTAAGCACTTACCTGGCCTGTCAGGCGAGTCCCTGTTTTTCCCTTGCACCGAAAGTCGGAAATCAGGGAGCTGTGTTGCTTGCGCGCAGCCTTAGAGTCTTCGGAAGATCCGCGGAAATCCCAGAAACTTGCGGTTCTGGCCTTGGCATAGAAGCTAACCCTAAACCCTAAACCGCCTTTGCTTGTTGGTGACAGGACCCTACATCTTAAACTCCCAAGCTCTGAGACCCCAAACCCTAAACCCATCAGGGCCCTGTGGCTGGTGACATGGTTTAGATTGGTTCTGGTGTGGATTGCTAGCTATCGGAGGGCTGCTCTAGTGTGACGGAACTATGTGGAGCTAGGGTTTAGGGGTTTAGGGTTTGGGGTTTAGGGTCTTGCCTGCTTGTGCGAGAGTGAGCGTCGATGTATTTAAACCCGAAACCCGAAACCATAAATCCTGGATAGTTAGACGTGATCTCCTGCAGCCACCCCAGAAACTCCTGAGCGCTGAGCTTTGAGGAATACCCTTCATCCGACAGCTACTGGGCTGGATCGGGAGCCGCCTGCCGAAACATAAGCTTTCGGGCAACTTCAGGGGCTCAGGAAAGTTAAGGGTTTTGGATATGGGAGTTTCCAAAAATTAGGGTACCTTATTTTGGGGTCCTTATAATAAGGGTCCTATTATTTAGGGTGCTATATTAGGGTCCCCTATTTTCGGAAACTCCCATATCTTGATCAGGATTTTAACCCTTAAGCTTATACAGGTCGCCTGCGTGCGGGTACGGGATGTGGTTTACTTCCCTGAGGCAGGCTCGACTGATGCATGGTGGTTTTGTCACCGAGTATCGTCTAGTGACCAGTTCTGGACGGTGTGATTTGGCTGGCCCGACTGTGCCATAGCATCTGAGCATGCGTGTTCCGTTGTGACTCTGATCACCTTCTCGACCTTGTCCTCCTGAAAGGTGGTTGTAGTTGTCATGCAGGTGGTGGTTGTCTTGTTGCGGGGCATACTCCATTTGTTTCAGGACAAGTGTACAGGTTCACAAGGGCGGGCGCACAGAGTCATGGTTTGGGTGAAACGGCAAATGGACCAACCTCGCCTGCATTGCCCGAGTTGCGAGAGTCTAACCGTCAACCCCCGTGGACCTCAAACCCAGTGACCCCGAAACCCTAAACCCTAAATCCCTAAACCCTAAACCCCTAAACCCTAAACCCAGTGACCCCAAATGGCTGCAAAGTTTGCTCAAGCCCGACTGCCTCGGCCTACGCAAGGCATCCGGGCAGACAAGGCTTCTATCTCCCGGGCACTGAAGAATGGCGATTCCGTGGGCCTCTTCCCAGGCAGGTTTAGCCAGGCGTTTTTGGAGATGGCCTAAAAGTTGTGGTGCGGTGTGTGCTAAGTCAAGTTGGAGCTAACTTAGCCTCTGGCCAAATTTGGGAAAAGTTCTTCTCTTGATTTGTGCTGCCCTCGGTCCCTGCCCTGTACCTTCCTGCAACTGATGCCCGCGCGCTCGGGTCCAAGTAGCTTACAGCTTTGAGGCCTGTATCATGACTTCAGCCCCTCCGAAGGTGGCATTGCCGAGATGGTTCGCACCGATGCGAACACGGAGCCTTTGCTTGATTGTCCGAGTTGTGAGAGTGTAAACCCAAAACCCTAAACCCCGAACCCTAAACCCTAAACCCTAAACCAAAAAACCCTAAACCCTAAACCAGCCTTTAAACAGAAAGCCGAAGCCAAAAGACCACAGGAGCGCCTCCTTCTCAACTCTCGGAAGGGAGTGGTGAAGATTGCGATGGAGCACAAGGCCGACTCAAAGAGACCATGGGACGTAGTAAGTCATGTTAGAAGTCATATAGAAGCCTGATTCATTGCCAAAAACTATTGTTAGGGTTCCTTGTTATAGATATACGGTAAAGGAGCCCAAAACCCTATTCTAATTATTAAGGCCCCTACATGAGGGTGGCTGTAAGGGTTCCGAGAGGGGTTTCTTGAGTAAGGGATCCTACGAGGGTTTAGGGAGAAGGAGGTAGGGTTAGGGTTTTAGGACACGTATAGGCTTCCCAGCTCATTGGCAGAATCTAGGTTCAAACAAAACACCTATAGGGTATGCATATGCAATATGGCTACACATGACCCTTCGAGCACCCGCCCAGACAGATCAGAGTTTAGGCCCTGAATCCCCTACCCAGGGTTTCGCTGGGTTGTCTTGTTACCGCCACCGCCACCCCAACCATCACCACCACCGCCGCCGCCGCCGCCGCAACCGCCACCGCAACCACCACCGCAACCAGCACCGAAACCAGCACCGCAACCACCACCGCAACCACCACCGCAACCACCACCGCAACCACCGCAACCACCGCAACCACCGCAACCACCGCAACCACCGCACCCACCACCCTCACCGCACCCACCAACACCACCACCCCTACCACCCCCAGCACCCCCACCATCCCAATCATCCCAATCCCCACAACCACCACAACAGTCGCGACTGCTGCTGCAGCTGCTGTCAAAGCCTCTTACGACCACTGCTATGGGTATCGCTTGTTGTTGGGGCGAGGGGGCGAGGCTCTTGAGTACTGTGTCTAATTGCGAGGTTGTGTTGCTGACGGCTTTGATTTCGGGAGCCTAATGCGCAAGACGAGCTCCTTGAGCCCAAACACTACCCCGTGCTGACAGCCTGATCACTGCCGCTTCACAGGTTCCGTTGGTGCCCGTCTACGTTTTCGGCCAGAGTGTACTCTGGAGAGACTTGGCTCCAGAATTCCGTCGAACTTTTCTACATCTTGACCGGGGGCCCTGTTCCCAAGGTCGCAGCCTAGGTCCTCAACTCTACCAGCCTCAAGATTCCAAGCCACAACTCAGAATCCCGGGTGCGCCTGAGATCTCCAAAGGGGAGCCTGTGGGCTGAGAGCCTTGAAGTCCTGGACCCCATAGGTCGAATTGGGCTATAAAGGCCTTCTACAGCTCTAAGCACCGTGCTGATATCACGGCCAAGTGAACTCTTGAGGGCGCTTTGAAAACTGAAGCCAATCTCACATCCCTTCGCTGGACTCCAGGCCACTTGCCCCTGCCGGCCTTTGTGGAGCGTCTGAGCCGATGGCTTCAGGCTGCCTGGGCTTCTAGATTGGTACTACGAATATGAAAGTGAATACTAGTTGAAACAGAAATAATATAAATACAATGCTAACATCGCGGCACGGCAAACCAAGATTTGAGGCTGACGTTTCACTTGAGCGACGAAGGGCAACTGACATGCGGCAAGTGTATTGTGCAGCGGCCACATCAACTCCCCGTGCCTGTTGCTTACTGTTGCTTTATTCAGTTTGTCTTGTCTTTGGTCGGTGTCCTGTTGACTCTTGACCTCGCTCTTGGTTTTTGTAGGTCGCCCGCGCCGTTCGGTCTGCCAAAGAGTCACCGCGCAACTCTACAGTAATCACGGAGGCAGCGCTTTTCTTTTGCATCACGTTCCCCACAGCTTTTTTCCAAGCCGCGTGCAAGAAACACACGAAGGCCAGCATCATCGTGCCCTATGGGCGTTTTGGCCTTCTGGTTCCACAGAAGTGGCGTGGCAGCTCTATCTTCGGCTTGGTTCTGCTGCAGAGATTCCTGCAGATCAAAGGAGCCAGGTCTGACGAGTGAGAAACCTTGAGAACCCGTAGCCCTCGGCAGCTCCTCCTCTTCCGGTGAGTTGCAGGAGGGGTTAGTGCGCCTGTTGCAAAGCAGAGAGAAGCAAGGAACCTTCTGGTGAAAACGCCGCCATCTTTCCCCTATCCTGCATGTGCCTGAACGTAAACGTTGACTCAATGCTTCTCTCTCTAACACCCGAGTCCAAGTATGTCCTACATCTGTTCCAGCGCACGAGGCGGCAGCTGTTGTATGCCATCGGCGACCCTATCGAACCCGGCGACAGTGTGGACGCAACCCATCAGGTGCGCCTGTGTTTTGATAGGGCCTCATTGGCTCGGGGTACAGAGTGTAAGATGTCAACCCCTGCCCACAGATGGGAGTCTGAAAATTTGGGGATTATTTCCTGCACCATGGTGTGAAAGACAGACTACCTGTCACACCAGTAAACACGGACATTATTTGAAGTGAATGTAATCCGGTTCGACAGGTGATTAGAAGCCTCAGGGTTCTGCAGATCAATGATGTTCTTCCATGTCTTGCCAGGCCGTCGTCGCGGCTGTGCAAGGTCTCTACGATGCGTGGCTTGGCAATCTCTAGTGTGGTGGCTTCGGGATCTTGTGCATTTTCTCCCGAAGTCAGTTGCCATTTTCTCCCGAAGTCAGTTGCTAAAGCACCTCTTCCCCGGAACCCCCGAAGCACAACATGGATTGAAGTTCGATCTCAGGTACAAGGGGATGTACGGATGGCAGAACCGACCACTGCAAATCGACTGAGTGATCCGGGTTGCCGGGAGCAGGCGATGACTGTCTGGTGCTTAGTAGGGAATGGGGGAATGGATCCCTATGATAGTCCCTTAAGGTCCCTTATAGTAGTCCCTACAACTCATTCTCCCATTCCCTACTAAGCACCAGACAGATGAAAGCCATGATTGCGTCGGGGGGAGTTTTGGCGCCGAGAAGTTCTTCAAGCTTGCTCGTGCTCGTGGTTCTTAAAGATTTGAGAAGACTCGATAGTCGACTGCACTTATGTGTAAGTTGCGGACTCCATTCGGAAAGCCTTTCCCGGAACCTTGACCGAGTGGGCAAGCTGTCAGAAGAGCTTTCTGCTTCAGCTCGAGCGCCGTAGAGCCAGTGGCTTTCCAGTAACACGGTCGCTGCCCTTCGCAGCGGTTTGAGCACCGACTCTTGCATAAGAATTCCGTATGAACAGAAGCACCAGAGGCTCGCAGAGGCAGCAAGCAAGAGTCGGAAAGCCCTGTTTTTGGCCTTTTGAAAGCCAAGTAGATCATAGGATCCGGCAAACTCAACCGTCGAGTCAATAGCAGCACCAGCAGCTGCACCAGTAATCGTAGTGAGTGTGGGCGCTGTCATAGATAAGTGTTGCTGGTGCTGGCGGTGGTAGTGATGGTGGTGGTGGTGGCAGCCTTGAGATGCCTTTGGCATGGCGACATCCATAATGCTGGTGTTCGTAAGGCTACATGGTCGTCTTGACGGGGTCGCTGTCGTTGGGCTAGCAGTGGTTCCCGCCGCCACACAACTGCGTGGCTCACCGTTGCTCCACCACCTTCACAGCAGCAGCCCCGCGCGCCACCACATCCACCGCCCGACAAAACGCACTGTGCAAGCAGTCGGAGTCATCACAACGAATAGAATGGACGATATGGGTGACGACCGTCATGGCCCTGATGATGCTGTGATGATGGTGATCGTGAGCAGGGTAGTGCAATCTTACCAGGGAAACCTTGCAGAAAGTTCGAGCCTCAACGGTGCTGCTAGAGGGAATCCAGACTTTTATGAAGGCTTCTTGAGTTTGTCTGACTTTGGCCGTCATGTTTCCAGAGCCAGATCATACTGTCCCTCCGACGGTGCCACCAGAGCCCGAGATGAGCTCGCTGGTGTCTATGGCGGCCTATCAAGCATGTGCATCAGCTGTGCCAGGCCATCTTGTCCCGAAAGGCGCAGGCAGGTTCATGTCAAGTCGTTCTTGGAGCATCCAAGTTTGGATCTTGTGCCGTATTAGGCCCTAAACCGTGCCTATATTGTGGTGCCTTCTCGCATCTGAACTTGGGCTTGGGAAGTTGAACTTGTAGTGGAGCTCTGAAATCACTGAAAGCCCCGTCTCCCTAGGATATCGCTCTTCGTCGGCCCGTTGTCTGCCTACCGGGATGAGCACGCCTGGCCCTCAGCAGGGCTCGCTGTTGTTCAGTGGTCGGGTTCTGGGGTGTTAGGGTTTAAGGTTTAAGGTTTAGGGTTTAGGGTTTAAGGAGTCTGGGTTCAAAAAAAAGGTTTGAGGATTAGGGCTTGGGGTTTAGGGTTTAAGGAGTCTGGGTTCAAAAAAAAGGTTTGAGGATTAGGGTTTAGGGTTTAGGGTTTAAGGTTTAAGGTTTAGTGATCAGAGCCTGGGTTCTAAAAAAGGTTTAAGGTTTGGGGAGGTTTGGGGTGTAGGGCCAAGATCTCTCAGTCAGGGCTGTCTCGGGTCCTAGGATTGCCCGTAGATGCTCGCGCCCAACGCCGGTTTGTATTCTGGTTACGTATCCTGGCTTCATCCTTGCGCAGCAGGTCAAGCAAAGAGGGTTGCTTTCTCCAAGCCCCTGTATTTGGGAGTGAAGTGGAGCCGCAGAGACCAGTGGGCAGAATTCTCAGGATCGCAGAAACAGTCGGTGTAGTCTTCGGACTCTGAGGTGATCGACGTGATGAAGTGTGGCATGCGAATGGGCACGAAGCCTGCTATCGAGAGGCAGGGTTGCGAGGCTTCGGTCTTCAGAGTTCTTGAGGGTTCCAGGATGCGGCTTGGGCGGCTTCTCTGCTACTGTCATGCATGAGCTTCCGGTGCATGAGGTTGTCGACGGTTGAGCTCTCACCCTTCAGCCTCAACCCGCAAGCCGAACAACAAGACCCCTTCTCAGCCCTAGAAAACCTATGGCGGCCGCTATTGTCACCGTTACAGGAACCCATAGAGTAACCCATTTAGTAACCCTTTAGCACCTCCAGATATCTACTTTGCAGGCCGGGGAGGTCTCGAAAGGTGATGGAGGCCTGGGATGGGGCCTCGGCATTGAGGCTTCGGGTCCAATATAAGGGCCGTCAAAACTAACGTGGGTGTGTGTGTGTGTGTGGGGGGTTATTTCTACTATGTTCATTCAGGCTTAAAAAAACAAGAGGCTGGTAGTCCTAACTTCATAGCTCCTTGTTTCTGGGTCGCTGCCAGTTGTGTGGTTTAGCTTACGCAGTTTTTTCAGAGCTTCCATGATAGTGGCGACGATCTGAGATTTGGTGCAGTGCAGCATCACAGCCTTGTCGAGAGCCAGTTTCTTAACTTTTCAGATGCATTCTTCGCCATGTCCTTCTACAAGAGCTACTAGTGCTGTCAGCGAGGCCCCAGGCAGCAAAGGCGCTGACCCCCGACCCCTGTTTTAGAAGTTGGAGCTCTGTTGGCAAGGCTCAAAGAGACTCGAGGACCATTGCCACATATTCCAGGTATTCCCTCTCTTAGATCACCAGGATGTCTGGTGCCCCTCTCGCTGTCGAGTCCGGCGTCCCTCTCGCTGCTCTCGAAGCCAAGGACGACGAGCCGCGAACGCTTGTGTCTCGTAAGGGTGTTTCTCTGGGAGGCACCGTCGTTACCATGTTGAACGTCTTCGTCGGTGGCGGCAGTGTAGTCTTGCCATACGCCTTCCGGCTGTCGGGGTGGCTTTTCGTTCCGTTGCTACTGGCGGTCGGAGTGCTCATGGGCTTTACTCTTTGGATCATGGGCTTCCTCTTGGAGGCAGTAGACGAACGGGCAGAGCAGATGGGCGTGCCACGCTCTCAACGTGACTGGGGCCTTATTGGCTATGCTGCATTCGGGAACGTCGGTCGCCTGCTCTTCGCTGGTTGCATGTTCTTCGACCTCACAGGGGGGGCCTTGGTTCTGGTCAGCATCGTGATTGAGCAGCTTCCCTTTTTGCTACCCTTCAGGCATAATGTGACGGCCGCTCTTTCGTGTGTATTGGCCTTCAGCTGTTGCCTGCTTCCCAAGAGATTCTTCTCAGCAATGGCAGTGCTGGGCATGTCTTCCCAGATTATGCTGATCCTTGGGCTCGTGATCACCGGTGTGGAACTGTCGTCGTTGAATGAGGTTGCGACAGATCAGACGGCTCTGAAAGCAGCAGGGGTGCCATCTGCCTTTGGAATTGCCCTTCTCTGCTTCCTTGCACACAGCGAGGCTCCTCTCATCTACCAAATGATGGAGGACCGCAAGCAATGGACAAAGGCCGTGATCTATAGTATGACACTCACAGAGGCTTTCCTCCTGACCTTTGGAGCCTAGGTCCGTCAACACCTGTGGTTTCGGGGCTTTCTATGTAGAGTGAATAAGAGGAACAAATGTGCGCATGGGTTTCTGGGCATCTTAGGAGCACTGGGCTATGGCTTCTTCGGCGGCAGCGTTGCGCAGTCCATCGCAGACAACATTGGCCGTGACTTGGAGCTTCAAGTGCTTCCCGGCGGCCTGAATGTGTTCTTGGGTGCCATCACAATCCTTGGCCTCAGCACGAAGCAGCTGGTAACACTGCCTTTGCTCCTGGATGCCACCACCGACTTGTTCGGCGAGCGGCTTCAGTGGAAAGGTCAGCTGCTGGTGAAGGCACCTAATGTCCAGCAGTTGGCAGCGGGTTACTTGGGTTGAAGCGAGCGTTGTAGCGATTCCTGCAGTGAGTGCATATCGGGATGGTTGCCTAAGTGTCCGGATGTCAGGCCATCATCCTGGGCCTCTCGGGCATTGTTGTCGTGCTTCTCAAGGATGCCGTTGCTTTCATTGGGGATTTGGTCGGCATCCTGCCTGCGAATGGTGTTTGCGTCATCTTTCCTTGCGCCGCTCTCCTGCAGATGTACGGCCATGAGATGCGTATGTGGCAGCGCATTGGTGTTCGAGCCTTGGTCGTTGTATTTAGTTTGTACAGTGTGTTCGGATCAGTATCCACTATTCGGCAGCAGCTTGCCATGTAAAGACGGCTAAAATGCAATGCTTGCCAAGCGTAATTACCATGAATTCAGAGCCGAAGAAGCTCGTACAGCTTGACCCTGTCATCCACGGATCCCTGGCACATGTACAGCGCCACGGCATGAGGAGAGCTGTTGCCGGTCTGTATTTCGATAGCAGCAGCCCACATGCATCATGCGAGCCCTACTGGTAGGAACAAGTGAAGATACAGAGACACATCCACTGCCAAGTACATGTTCTGCCGCCTCCTTCCGGAGACAGGAGCATTGCAGGGGTTCCGACACGTTGTGGCTTGCTGCAGCCTTTTGAAGCGACAGTGGCCTAGTCTTTGGCAAACGTCCATTGGCCGCTGCGACCATGCGAAGCTGGGCTGAACTTGATTTGTCAGCCACCCACTTTCAGAGCTCATCTCGAGTCTTTCCCTTTGCTGATTTCGCCTTCTGCTGCCCAGCTGCATCGTCTTATCCTCCTGCTCCTCCCACTCCTGCTTCTGCCATAATCATTGTCTGCATATTTTGCCATCCGACTGCTATCTTATCATTCTCTTTATCGCCATCACCTCCACGATCAGCATTAACCTCTCCATCCCGGTCATCATCAGCATCGGCTCACCCTCACCATCATCGTCATCATCATCGTCGCCAGCTTCATCGCTATGATCCTCACCATTAGAGGCAGGATCGTTGTCATCATTGTCACCATCTCCAGCATCATTGTTATTGCTGTCGTTAACATTTTCGTTATCAGCACCATTATTACGATTATCATGGTCATCGCTGGCTAGTGTCGTCACCAGCATCGGCATCATCGTGGTCATCAGCTATCGTCACCTTTGGCCTCACCTTCATGCTCATCTCCTTCCTCACCACAGTCCTGCTCCTCGTCTGCATCTGCCTCATCTTCATCTTCAGCCTCGTGCTCCTCGTCATCAGCACAACCAGCATGCGCATCGCGTTTTCCGTCCAGTGTCCCTGGCCGTGTTCGCAGATGCGTCCAAGTTCAGTGCCTGGCAGGAAAAGTGCTTCCCCTCCTTCTCGTCTTCTTGACGCACGCGGATGAAACCGGCTTGCTGCAGGATGACGAATGCCAGGAGGGGTCCCAAGGCAGGCGCGAGTTGGATCATGGCATTTTCAAGGCAGCAAAAGGATGAGGGTCGCTCGCTACTAAGTTGAGTTAATGACCACTGCAGCACCGGTAGCACCTTCATCATGTCTGGTCTGTGTCTGAGTTTGATCCTTGAGAACCGAAGGTACTGAACTGATAAGGTGTCCACGATCCTTGACAAGTAGTTTCACGCTTTCGTATGTTGCCGGTGTTGCAAATTTTATTGAGCAGCGTCGCCCCAACTTCCAGCCAATTTCAGAGACTGTGCTGAGTGGCACGAACAGATAATTGCCTGGTACTTAATACTGGTAGTGACTTAGTAATGACCATAATCCCGGCTCCATTCATGATCCGCCATATGGGGGTCTCCGAAAATAGGGGACCCTAATATAGCACCCCAAATAGTAGGATCCTTATTATAAGGACCCCAAAATGAGGTACCCCTAATTTTCGGAAACTCCCTTTTGTGGCACGGTACGACCTGCAGGTGAGTGCGCCATGAACGCTCTTCAGCTGCGAAGCTCGCAAGGACGGGGTCGTGATGGGTTTAGGGTTTAGGGTTTAGGGTTTCGGGTTTAGGGTTTCCACAAGCACGTAAGAGAAGCAATTGAGTGAACTTCGATGTTGAAATACACATAGCGTACCTGAAAGACCAGCACCCAGAACTGAAAATGCAGCCCAGAACCTCGTCTCTTCTGTTCAAAGTACCTGTGGTACTATAGGGGCCTTTAATACAATACTATAATTACAATAAGGAACCCCCAAAAGCCTATTCTAATGATTAAGGCCCCTACATTACCACAACCAAGCCTCCGAGACTTCCCGAAAAGCATGGCCTGGCACTGCCAGCCGATAGATCCGAAACCCTGCGCCACGACATGACAACCAGAACTATGGTAACAATGTAGTAAGCATAGTAATAGTAGTAGTAGGAGTAG